TAAAAAGACCTGCTTTCACACAGAAAGCAAGAGTCCTTTTCTACAGCACTGGCAAGGGACTGATTCTTCTACTCAGACTGTGGCTGATTTCTAAACATATAAACTGCAAGTACTGTAAGACTTTACACACCATTTGTTGTGATGCAGCGGAAATGTATTTAACACATTTATACTGGAAGTTTAGATAGGATTTAAACAGAAAAACAAGCACTACACAGCACTTAATGAACTTGCTAGTCTGGCTCTGTGGAGCTGACCATTTTATTTCTTATTTAGGTAGCCATACAAGGCTCAGTTTTCTCTCGTTCAGCCCATGGACTGAATGAAAGAAAATCAATCGATTCCCCCATTCATACTAACAGTGTAAACAGAGGAATCTCCTCTACCAGTTACTGTATTTGATAACCGAACAGTGATTTTCATTATATAGTTATAAATCAACTTTTGTCAAAGTGGGTGGTGTTTGCAGGGCTAACCACAGCTTAAAGTGACATTAAACCCTCAGATTTTATAACATAAAACAATACTGTAATGTGCGCCTTACTGTAATCCATGGTAGTTTCCCTTCTCTTTGCTGCTCTTCCTTTTAAATCTGTATCTGTTCTCATGCTGGGCAGAACTTCTATTTTGCAGCAGACTGCCTTGTCTCTGGAATGGATACATGGTGTCTGTATGTAGGTTTGCAACCTGAGCCAGCACTACAGGAAGAGGCACTCAGCTGCAAAGGGACGTTCTCCCCCTGCATGGGAAGACATGAAGATTTAAAAGGAAGAACAGCAAAGAGAAGGGAAACAACCATGGATTACAGTAAGGCGCACATTACAGTATTGTTTTATGTTAAAAAATCGGAGGGTTTAATGTCACTTTAAATTTCCACTGATTCAGCTGGAAAATTTGAGCCGTCTATAGCTAACCTTACTTGTCCAACAGCTTATTTCCCTATCAGCAACCAACAAGGCAAGCCACATGCATGGAAGAACCCCCTTACCCTGGAGGTCTGATATCCAAATCATCATTTTGTCAGAAAGGGTTGGTCTGCCCTCTTCCAATTAACAGTGAACAGATGCTTTGCCAAATACGCAGGTATGTTGCGCATATATACTGTAGTTGGCTCCCTTACCAGTACACATACCCCCTAGGCACCAGAGATACTGAAGCCAAGCTGAAAAATCAGGAATGGGTAAGGGGGCAGTTTTCCATTTTAATATTAAAATAAAAGTGTTACCCTTCAAATAAAAAAAGGGTTTCAGAACCACAGACAGCATCACATGAACATCCTCGTGTCCAAGCCCAGTGCACATCTGCCACTGAAACACTAAAGTGGACTTATTATACAATGGATTGACATCTGCTGGGTGCAACTTTCACCAGAAGCACATTTGTAGCAATTTTACCAGCAAATGCAGGTGTATGTAGGGTTGCCACCTTTCCTTCCAGCGAAACCCAAACACTCTAGTGACGCATGGAACTTTTTTGGGGAGAATGAGTCGTGGCTTATTGGTATGTACATAGCGTCACCCATTAATATGTAAATATCACAGTCAAGACTATTTTTAGTGGGGGGCCGGTAGCCCCTATCTTAATTTTGGTTGCCCCTGTCTGCCTGACATCACGTGTCCAGGTTTCAGCTGCCATGAAACCTGGACACAGGATTCAAAACCCGGACTGTCCGGGTGAATCCTGGACAGGTAGCAACCCTAGGTGTATGCTGTGCAATAAATGTGCATGGGTTTGCAATGACCTTTATAAATATGGCCCCTGGTATAATTCTGTGATGTGACTATTATAATTTTCTAGGCATGTAGCCCAAGACACCGGTAAATCATAAGAACCTATAACATAATATATACACAGAACAGTCAGGTAATTTCTAGAGAAATGTGTAGATAATCTACTTCCTATATACAGTACAACCTTATGCAATAAAGAACTCTGGTTCTAACCCACAGCAACCAATCACAATTTACTCAATGATAGTTTTTTTCCTAAAAAGGCAGATGGCAATAGATACATTGCAACTTAATCACAGACACACATAAATCTCTAGTACACATAACAAAATAACCTGAAAAACCTGTCATGAATGTTTCCATCCATATAGACACTGCCACATCTCATTTTGTCATCATAACACCTAGGGACAGAAAGGAACTGTCTGATGACCTGAATGTACTGACCTTATCAGGCTCTGACGTAAATATGCCCATATTGAGAAGATTGTTGATCATATTAATATGGCCATTTTCAGCTGCTAGGTGAAAGGGCTCCCTACCTCTCTGTAAAATATTACGGAGAAAGATGTTATTATACATTTTGTAAAAACATTATTCATGAAGAAAATATGTTTCTAAACAGTGATACAATATAATATATATATATATATATATATATATACACACACACACACACAAATAATAAATATACTGCACAATATATTTATGCAAGATATATCCACGCCTATCCACAAAACCAAAAAAGTCACAACCTGGATTTAGCTGAGCAAATACGTCAGAGTCTTCAATTGGATAAGTGTTATGTTCTGGGGTTACTTCAGTTGGTCAGATCTAGATTCAGCAATTTTATGTCCCCTAAAAATGAGGTCAGCTGCCTACCTGAATGTACTGAATGACCAGGTTTTTTCATTAATCTTCTCTGATGGCACATTGGCCATATTCCAAGATGACAATGTCAGGATTCATCGGGGTGAGATTGTAAAAGAATGGTTCAGGGAGCATGAGACATCATTTTCACACAAGGATTGGCCATCCAGACCTTAACCCCATTGAGAATCTTTGGGATGTGCTGGAGAAGACTTTACACAGTGGCCGGACTCTCCCATCATCACTACAAGATCTTGGTAAAAGATAATGCAACTCTGGACGGAAATAAATGTTGTGACATTGCATAAGCTTTCATTGCATCAAAACAATAACATGGCAAATGTGTGTCGTAATCAAAGCTAAAGGCGGTCCAGAGGAGTAGGAAATTGGCCCCTTAGTTTTCCTGGCTGCCCGTCAAACCATCACCAAGGCTTGAAAATAGCTGACCTTGAACTTCTTGGAGGTCAAACAAAGAGTCATGGGTATAATGCTACACGAAAAGCTTACAGCTATCCTGAATGATTCTTATGTCGCCTATAAGAAAATTTGGTTTCGATGGCTTGAGTATATCTTTCCTTTAAATCTAGACCGTTCCTTATTGTTCCTTTAAACTATTGGTGCCCGCTGGGGCACGCTGACACCCACTAACCCCACAGTCTCTTTCCTCTGTCTTCTTCTTTCTTGTTTTTACCTTTCCTATTCTTCTTCTTACCCTCCCCCGAACTAATTTCTGCTTTTTTTGCCATTTTGCCCAGGTGGTTTTTGCCTTGATCGCTCATACCATCTTTTGTAGCGCGCTCCCTGAGTTTTGCGGCTAGTATGGGGTGCTTTAAGTGGGGGTTGGAATCATCTCGCTCACTCTCCTGTGTTTTCCCTATTAGATCTTCAGTTATTTTTTCTGTTATTTTCCATTGGCCAGTATGTTTTTGGACTCTTATTTATGGTTGTCTATACGCCTTGGCTTTGTACTTGTTATTCATGTCTATCCTTGTTGTATTTATTTGTTAAATTCCTTCAATAAAACTTTTTGTAAAACAAAGCTAAAGACAGTCCAACAACATTTTAGTGTGTGACTTTATTTGGGACAGGCAGTGTATTTACAGACAGACAGACAGACAGACAGACAGACAGACAGACAGACACACACACACACACACACGTTCACACATGTTTTTTTTAGTAGAAGCAAAGGCAGGTGTATAATGAGTAACCAATAGATAACAATCTTTACAGATGCTCACTTTCATTCTCAGGAGTAGAATTGTTTACAAGAAGGGAGGAGGTTATAGTATAATCCAACACTACACAAGATAGATCACATTGCTAACACCTAGTTGTGGATCATTGTGAATATCTCACAGTGCTGATGTTATCACTGATTATTGTCTTGGATGTTTAGTCCAATCCCACAACAGAGGCAGCCAATATATGCAGAGAATATGGGTTTTCTCACATTCAGAATGGGTCAGAAAGCTCCTAGAGGCCAGATGTTGCTTGTGGCTTGGCTGATCATTTGTGTAAATGCTATGGGGAAAGGTGAGGAAATAACATGCATTTTTGGCACCAGGATATAACAGAGATCAGACAAGGTTTCCTAACCTAGCCACATGCTCTTTCCCCATGCAGAACCGGCTGAAGGTGTCTGCAAGCACACATACCTGTCCTTCAGGCAGAAATAAAGTAAAAGATAAGGCAGATTAGAACAGCATGGTGCACTGCAGTAACTCTTACAGGGTTATTCACAAAAGCAGGGGTGTATTTACCGCAAGGCAAACTAGGCGTTTGCCTAGGGCGGCACCTTCCTGGGGGGCGGCCGTAGTCAAACGCCTATGTTGTGAAGAGCAGGGGCGAGCCGGAGCCCGTCTGTGTGTAGGAGTAGATGGCGGCTTGCCTGCTTGTGAAGAGGGTGGGAGGACGGATGGAGCCGGACAGCACAGCCGATAGATGGGATCGTGACTCAGAGAATGAAAAGCAGCCGGCGGCCAAAACACCACTGCACAAAGGGGTGAAGAGTTTGGAGAAGGCAGGAGAAGTGAACAATCTAGGACAACATAGCTGATTTGGAAACATTCTCCAACTCACTTTCCAGTTCAGCTCTGTTGTCCTAGATTGTTCACTCTTCACCAGTGACATACTGTGCCTTCTGTGCTGGGTGAGGCATCCCCCAGCCCGCCAAAGCTCCGCCCCATCCCGCCGAAGCACCATCCTGTCCAGCCAAAGCTCCGCCCATGTCCCGCCAAAGCCCCGCCCCCTGCTCCTTAACCAAGCTGTGTGGGGAGCTGTGTGTCCCTCACTTGCTCATCACTGCTGAGGCATCGAGATCGATGGCCTCAGTGGGTTTTTTTTTTTATTGGACAGCTTAAACTAATGGCGCTTTGCCATTGGTCCAAGCCATCCACAGAGATCACGCCTCTAACACAGAGTAGAGGCTGTGACAGCTCTTGCCTCACCAAGTTAGGTTACACAAGCAGTGGGGAATCCCGCTGCTTCGTAACCTAACTACCTGTCAAAAGCCGGATGCAGCGCCGCCTGTAATTAACAAGCAGCACTCCGTCCATGACAGGTTACACAGCGGGGAGGCTTTCCCTCCTGTGTAACCTGTAACAAGCCGCACTGAATGGAGAAAAAGCTGTCAGCTTCAGACTTGAAGCTGACACCTTTTTTCTTCATAATACTAGGTGAGGCTCTGCCTCCCCTGACCGCACCTCCCTGCTCTTCACCCTTTTGTGAATAGCCGGGCTAGTATCCAATCACATTTAAAATAAAGCTAAAGCAATTTTGGATAGAGTAGATAATGGATAAAAACCCGACAGGTCTTTGTGTCAACTGTGTTCCATTGGAGAAATGTGCCTTCCTGTCCTGTAGACCCCATAGTGAACTGTAGTACTTAGATAGCTGTAACCTGAACAATTGTCCTCATTGGAAGGTTTTCCCTCATTTTAGGGACAACTCAACATTTAGACTTTTCCCTCATTTGCAGTCCAAGGATAAGTCAGGATAAATAGAGAAGGCGAAGAAATGAAAACCCAATGGGAGGTCTAACCCTTCCCCACTGTAAGTTGGATTGGAGCAGTCAGAAAAATGAAAGATGACTACTGATTTGTTACTGGAGTTGACAACGCTTTTCCTATTGCTTTCTGACTCATCGAAGTGTACCTAAACCCAAAAATACAATTTATTTTATTGCAGCTTATCAGTCCTTAGATATGGTGGTTGAATTAGTTATATTTTTTCAAGTTTTTTATGTTAATGTTACCTATTGATCCTGCCAGTAACTCACCTCCTGTGCTATAGTGACAACACACATTCACTGTACTGTATCTATGGAGGAACAATGTTGTCACCCTAAACTGCCCTCCTGATCTGGAGTTCAAACATTTCCTCTTGTCCATGTCCATTACATAGGGGAAGGTGTTTTGTTAATAAGAGTGTTTGAGATATCATTTAATTGCACAGGCAGTTACAAGAACATTGAAATTCTGGCACGATCAACAGGTCCTTTCAAGAAAAAAATTATTCACCTAAAAACGCTAAACCAATGCAGCCATCACATTAAAGACTGATAAGTTTAAGTTTAGTTATTCTTTAAATAAACTCCACACATATTCGTTCAATGTATCTACCATTCAGCACAGGCTTAGGGCACACCCAAAGCAGTTTCCATGATAAGAGTGCTTAGATTCCTTTATTATTTAAAAATTTACGAATGAATTGGGGGGGGGTGGGGTGGGGGGAAGGGCTCAATATTGGGCTTCAAAACTGGGGAAAAAGTGTTTTCTTTATGTTTTTTCCTCTTTTTTATATTTTATTTGTAAGTGAGGCATTAGGTACACATATGTGATATAAATATAGAGCCCTATCTGACCTCTAAAAAACAATATATAATATGTGTGGTTACATTTAGCAAGAAAGTATATTACTGACGTGGAAGAATCACACAAAATGTCAAAAGTGCTTCAGTCATTAACGAACAGAAACTAAAAACAAGCACAGTCATGAAGGGGTTAAGAGCACGGAACATATTTACTTTCCAGATTCATTGGATTAACGTAGGTTATAAAATATACCTTGTCCTTGGTGACTAAATCTTGAAGCTGTAATTCCTTCAGGAGATAATCCACTATTTCATTCTTATCATTCTGGGCGGCAAAATGCAAAACATTCATTCCATCCTGTAACAAACAATATGCTATCATATCACATCATTTTATCATTAAATAATACTCTACAGACCTAGAAGTACTGAAGGGCTATTTAAAGGCAGATTAAAGTAAGCCATTATGCACATTTGAGGTAGCGATTACACCCTGCTCAGTGGTGGACCTATGGCAGGTGCAGCCGGTGCAGCTGCAGCAGGGACCGATGCTGGGTGGGGCCTCAGTGAGATCCAGTCCCGCCCCGCCTTCATTGGAGGAGGCATGGTCGCATGGTCTGTCACTTTAAATTTTTTAATTGAAGTGGCTGCCATAAGCTCCCGCGCTTGCTGGGGACCTCGCACCAGCCTTCTGTGGAACCACGCGGCATTTGTTTACAGTGCAGGCCCGCGCATCTTCCCCTCCCGAGACCTTCCGCACAGGGATCGGCAAGGTGTCCGTATGTTTTCTTTTTCGGGGGCGGAGCTTGCTTTTTAGTGGGAGGGAGTGAAGAGCAAGGCAGGAGCGGTGGCTGCTAGAGTGAAAAGAACGGTAAGCAAGCAGACGTCTGGGACTGAGGGGGACAGCAGCCGCTGAGCTTGGTGCCCGACGCTGGGGTAGGAGGGAGCATTTTGCAGAAGACAGCGCAGCAGCCAGTAGCTACTACTTTAATGATTACACCGGTGCTGTCCTCTGCAAAGGTTTCCCCACCCCAGCATCGGGTTCCTATTCAGCTTTGGGCCATTATTATGAAATGTTTTTCATAAAAATGAATTGCTTCTTGAGAACAACAGCAGACGCCACTATGGTTGCAAGTAATTGGTATGACAGGCTGGGAACATTTGAATTTTCTCTTTTCTCCGGAAAGAGGAAAGGATCAGAAAGGTCACACATTTTCCAGCAAACTGGTAAATCTCTGTGGATAGCAGTGAGAACTTCCAGTCATTGAAAGCGCATGTTATGCCCCTGTAGGGGTACAGACTTTAAACTACTAAATCCTCATATGAGTAATGCATTGGGCTTCAGATCAGGGATGGGATCAAACTAAAGCCATCTCAGCGAGTGCCAATAATGACCAGCATCACATTTACTAAAAAATCATCTTTATTAAAAGTAAAGCCGGTGTGCCTGTGTGCAATGCAAATAACTTCCTAATGTAAACAATAACTCGGTGTCAGAGATAGTGTTCTCTCAGATACATGTCCACCTACCTGATTTGTAGCTTTTTGACTTGCTCCAGCTTTAATCAACATCTGCATAACGCTTACGTCAGCGGACCAGGAAGCCAAGTGCAAGACTGTGAGACCATGCTGGAAAGAAGCCAATTGGTTAGAATATTGAGGGGAAGGAACCAATTGAGTTTATTATCAAAATAATGACTAGCATTAATTTTACAAGACAAAGAGAGTGAAGAAATACAAGTCTTGTCACCATTGTAACCTATGGACATGGTAATACAATACCTGTGAAGGTTCTCAGTTATCCATGTCTTGGTATACCTAGTAGTAGTTAGTCACATTTAACTGGACTTGTTCTTTAAAGGAGAACTATGGGGTTCGGGCTTTTCCCCATAGTTCTCCTTAGGGTAACGGGAGGACACAAACTAGCGTCCTCCAGTCACCCTAAGCTCAGTATACCGCGAGCTACAGCTCGCGGTATATTGAGACGTTGCAGGTGAAGCAGATCACGACAATTGTCTGGATCCGCTCAGCTGCGTGAGTTAGGGTTGCCACCTGTCCAGGATTCACCCGGACAGTTCGGGTTTTGAATGCTGTGTTCGGGTTTCATGGCAGCAGAAACCCGGACACAAGATGTCAGGCAGACAGGGGCAACCAAAATTAAGATAGGGGCTACTGGCCCCCCACTGGAAATAGTCTCAACTGTGATATTTACATATGAATGGGTGGAGCTATTTACATATGAATAAGCCACAACTCATTCTGCAAAAAAAATGTCTACACGTCGCTTGAGTGTTCGGGTTTCGCTTGAAGAAAAGGTGGCAACTCTAGCGTGAGTGACAGCTGGCTCTGCCTGTCTAGAGGCAGGTTACAGCTGGCTCTGCCTGTCTACAGGCAGAGCCAGCTGTAACCGCCCCCTCCCC